TTCGGACAGAGTCACCATATAACCTTTTTCATCAAAGAGGCATTCATGGCCGTGTGCACAGTAATTTATTTCTTTCAGTGAATGCTCCACAGCTTTATTGGCCTCTTGATTGCAACCTCGGGTGCTGTCCACAGCGGTCTGTGGCGTGTCCAGCAGGGTAGTCACAGAGACCCCCTCTGTATCCCCTGGACAGAGACCCCATTGCCGTCCTTGACACCCCACCATTCATTTTTAATTAGGGGTGGAGTTGGAGGGAGGGTGGAGTATGCTAGCTGCTGCTGCCGGCCAGCTCCTTCTAAACAGGAAGACCTTTTGGGTCTGATAACCTTGGCACCACTGTTTCCTCCCCCTCCAGCAAATAACAAATAAACAGTGAATAGCCTGAATTTCATAGCCAGAACAGAGAGGCAGTTTGTGTGTTTATTTCTCACCTAATAATCCAGTTAGAATATATCAGTAAACACAACATGCAAGTACACATATACATGCCTCAAAAATAGACACAGACTTCATTCAAACGAGGCACGTCTGGACATGTGTGGATGTGTGAGCTCAATGTGTTTGCACAGTGCATTTATTTTTCCCCTCCATAAATAAAGGAGTTAATATCAAGGCTGCAAGAAAGGCAGACAGCTCGATCTCACCCGACAGCAGAGAAGAAGCATTGATTTATTTATTGTGGTATTTAATTCACTTGCATGCATACTGAATAGTTTCTGGATGCATCTTCACAGTAGACAGATCTATAGAATATAAAAATACAGAATTAAAATGTTTTAATTAAAATGGCCAGAACATTTTAATACGCCTCCATCCAACATTAATTTAAGACTGCAGCCATTGTTCTTAAACTTTGAAGCATCCAGCACTTAATTGGCAATTATGTCTGGTTGGCTGGCATCACTGCAGACAGATGTAGTGTGTGTGTGTGTGTGTGTGTGTGGTTCTTCTTCCATTCATTCAGCAGATTTTGGCTAGCTTTTTTAAAGTGATCTTTTTATAGAAATGCACGCTTGATGGATTCAATGGCTGAAATAGTTTGGAGGCTTTTGTTCAAAAAGAAGATTTAACTAAACTTCACAAGGCTGGGTTAATGATGCCAGCGTTTCTGGGCAGTACTGCAATTCCCTGCAGCCCCAATTTCATCCCAGTTCTCTTATCAAATTAGATTAGACTGCCATTTTTTTCCTCATCGCTTTCTTTTTCTGGGTAAGACCTTAAGGTGCTTGTGTAAGTTCTGGCAGGTCTGAGTCCTCGGTGTCTTTGTGCTAACTAGGCCCTGAGCTGAGTCACACATTACGAGGCAAAGTGAGACATCTCAGGATGAACAACATCTGTGTTTAAACTAGAAACTGCCGCAGGACATTATTGTAAAGTCACTTTTAGCTTCCTGAGCAGACGCCAGAATGAAGGCTGAAAGGACTGACATATTTGGGCCACAAAGTTCAGCTTTGAAATGGCAGACGTGGAGTGCCTGGAGTTAGTTGGCATGGTAAAAGTGGAATAATAGGGTTTAGTTTACTACCGTTCCTCAGTTTGTTCCCCAGGGCACAATATGAATTATTAATATGTTGCCTTAGAATAGAAATGCCAGTAAACAACACAGTGTGTTTTAAATAAACCAGAGGAAACGCCTGAGTTTTGGGGATAATGGAAAAGTTGCATGTGAGTGTTAAATTAGGGTGTTTTGGTTAGTATGTGCAAACAGGTGAGGTCCTTTTAGACTGCATGAGAATAGTCTGCTTAGGAGATAATATTTCAAAAACAGATTTAATACATTTAAGTGGTCCAGATTTCACCAGCAGCTCAGGGTGCGGTAATCCCTCAGCTGATTTCTGCATAAACTTCACTGAAGCCACATGTCTGCCTCTGAAGATGTAACAAACAATACATAAATCTGCATGTCATCTTGTCTTCAGACTTGTTGACCTTTGATGTGGAGGAAAGTAAACCGTAATTATGCGCTCTTTCCCAGCCTCTCCCGGGACAGAAGCAATTACAGCTTATGAAGTCACCCATATGTGGAAAGCATGAAGACAAGAGACAACCTGATTGTGCTAATTACACGTACCTTTGCTGCCTAAATTAGTGAGCCAACCGGAAGCTCAGAGGCTTTTGTTTCCCAGCATGTGCATTGATAGGCCTATTACATGACCTATTCACGTCCCTGTGCACCTACTCAGCCATATGTTAGTGATGAGCAAAGTGTTTTAACCCACAGGTTTAATGTTAATGGTGCATTATTGTATTGGATAAGTGTCGAGGTACAGATCATGTAAATGTCCTCTGAGTACATAGTGCTGAATTGCTTAGTCAGATGATCAATTAAGTAATTTATCAAGGAGGGATACCAAGAGAGATTGTAGGCCTAACAGGGACTGCATTTTTTTTTTAATATAGATTAAATGATTAACCCAGAAAATAATTGGCAGAAAAATTTAAGTATTTATAAAATGAATCATTAGTTTTGGCCTTAGTATTTTAAGAAAGTGTCACTGTTCTAAAAACGTTTTGCAATATCAAATATTATTTATATATTTTAGAAAGTAGACTAAGAGTCTACAGCCGAGCTAGCCGCTCTATGAGGTTGTACTTAACATTGTAACTGTGAGCATGTTAGCATGCTGATGTTAGCACTTAGCTCAAAGTACTGCTGTGCCCAACATGCTGATTTTTAGCAGATATAATGTTTACTATGTTCACCATTTTAGTTTTGCATTTTAGCAACATTTGATAATTAGCATTAAACACAAAGTAAATCTGAGGCTCATCACAATGTTATTAGTTTAGCTAGTTTGGTGATAAGCCAAAGTTTTTAAACAAACTAACCTTTGGACCCGATGATGCGTGACAGAAATCCCTCAGAGATTACTGAAATGATAACCATTCATTCTCAAAGGGACATAAATTTCTCTACCAAGTTTAGTGGCAATCTATGAAATTGTTGTTGCTGACATTTCACCAAAAACCACAAAAGTCAACATCATGGGGGACCGTGAATGTCTGGAGATATTTCAGTTAGGACCAAAGTTTTGGACCAGGCGACCAACAAACTGGCATTACCATTCCTAAAGCCTAAAACATTTTACTTCAGAATTCAATATAAGTTGAACATATTAATAATAATAATATCAATAATATCATGGGTATTTGCTTGTTATCTCATGGCTAGAATTTTATTTTTTATTTTAAATGTAGCCCAAGATTTTTTCTTATCCATTACATTTGCCTGTTTTCCCACAAAACCCAAATCCTGCAACAGTTCCATCTCTCACGGTGCTTATAGGTTGCTTTGTTTATGATGCTGTGCTGTCAGTTGTTCTACACAGCTACTTTTCCCACCCGGGGTTCAACACAGTAACTGCTCCCTATAGATTAAATATCACAGTTGTTACAACTACAACTAACCCCCCTCTCTCCCATCTATAACCCCCCTCATGTGTTCTTATGGTGTGATCCATAATTAAATCCATCAACAGTTTTCTCTTCAACATGTAAACATATGGCGAGGGATCCCTCCCCATCACACAAGCCTCCTCCCTCCTCTCCCTCTTTCCATCTCTACTCACCCGGCTGACTCTTACTATCCCTCTCACTCGCTGTCTCCCCTCTCTATCCTCTCATTGTCAGTCCGTTTCCGCCTGAGTGCCCCCCCCCACCCCGCTGTTTTGGGGTAGTCTAGACGGGCAGTGCTGATTGGCTGTCACACCCAGGGGTGTCCCCCCCCGCCTTTGAGAGAGATACATATAGGGGCCATCAGACTGATCCCTTTGAAAGGTGAGAGACAGTGACAGGCTGGCAGAGGTGCAGACTAACAACAACAGAGAGACACACAGGGATATGTTTACCTCCTGCTTTGTTAAGGGGTTATAGAAGGTAAGGTGCAGGTTTCGATTTCTAAAAATTTCTATTATTTGAGTTATAGAATGAGCTGTGAGTTTAACAGGTTCTCGTTTTTCCATTTTTAAAGGAATATTTAAATTAAAAGTAGCTTTTTGTTGTCATGATAGAGGCCTGTTGTTTTTATGTGCAATAAACTGCATTTATGTTCAGTTGACAGTTAGTTGTTGTTCCTGAAAGACATCTTGGTTTCTAGGGAAAAGAATTGTTGATCAGCGTTGTCTGCTGTAGGTGTGCTATAGACATTTTCAAAATTCCTCACATACTATGGCATCTTCCCACACTTTTTTTTTTTTTTTTTTTTTTTTTTTAAAGGGAGGGCTCTCGTCAGGTTTACTCATGAATCACTTGCTACCTTTGCACATGTTCTTAAATAAAGATAAACCTGTTATATTATGAGAATGATTCAAAGTCTGGGTCCAGGGGCGAGATGATTCAAGCCTCAAAGTTAAGACACAGGTCACGATGCTGCTTCTGGACTGTCTACCTTCAGGAGAAGACAGTTAGTCCTGGTCACATGACAGGCTCTTAAACAGATGAAAGCAGAAAGAGAGGAGGAGGAGGATAAAAGCCGAGTGTATGATTACTGTCGTACCGAGAGAAGTAAGAGTATAGACAAAGAGCTCGGAGGAGGGAGCAAATATGGAAAAAAGTAAATGGATGGATGCAAAAAGAAAAACAGAAAAAAAAATGGCAAGCTAGTCTGCTTTACAGCTGTCATTGGATGGATCTAGTCTCATACGCAGGCCATATGGGACCCAGGCCTGTCATCCAAAACTAGGTCACATGACCCATAATTAAACAAGGTGCGCAGCCTGAAAAATACAAGAGTCTAACCGACAGAGACAGGACTCATACTGTAATTTTTAATCATTAATACATGTTTAATGCCTTTAATATTGCCAGTTGATGGTCTGTAATTAGATTAGTACTGATGCTGAGACAAATGATGAGTGACGCAGAATGAAAAGCCTACTTATGTCTAACTTTCATGCAATAAAATGCAATAAGCCTCTACAGGTTGTTCAGTTGCTCAGCCAAACTGGACCGTTTTGTTTCTCATTATCATCTTTTTAACACTCTCTCTGTCTCCATTGCAGGTGTCTATGAAAGAAGCCGGAGATGGCCTCCACGCTCAGATGAATTCAATGATGGGAGCCCTCCAGGAACTCAAGCTTCTTCAGGTTCAGACAGCGCTAGAAAACCTTGATATTTCAGGTCGGCCCATTAACAGAGGACTCCCACATCCTGCTCTGTCAGATCCTCCTGAAGCGTCAGCTACAGCGGCTTCAACCTCGGGCAAGGATCACAGACCCTGCTTTCGCCAAACCATGCGTGAGGAGCACAGCCACAGTCCGATGCCAAGTCCAAGGCCGTCTCTGGAAAGCAGAAACACCTTCAGCCGAGATGACAGGAGCCTGTCTGAAAACAGAAGCAGCCTGGGAACCTCGTCCTCCTCTGCATCCAGCCTTGAGAGTGAGAGAAGTGAAAGAAGTGAAAGAAGTGCGCGTTGCGAGAATGACCTTGAGTCTATACCCAAGAGGTGGTCGGGATACGCCGCCCCGCAGGTGGATTTCTATGGACCTATGGTGGGAAATCCTCCGCCAGAGCCCTACACTCATCCACAGGCTCCCAGTCGTGCTCAGGTGGTGGACCTCCCCGGGATCCTGTACAGCCTCTCAAGAGAGGGCCCTTCATTGGACAGTGACTACTCCCAGGACAGTACAGACGACGGCAGCGACTGGACTTCTTCGCTCATGAGCCGCAGCCGCAACCGTCAGCCCTTAGTGCTGGGTGACAACGTCTTTGCCGACCTCGTGGGAAACTGGCTGGACTTGCCCGAGGTGGAAAGGGATGAGGGGGAAGAAGAGGAGAGTAACAAGAGGAGAGAGGAGAGGACAGCTGATGGAGGGGCGGACAGACCGGACACACCAGCGCACCCTCTCCGCCTCAGCCGCTCGCAGGAGATCTGCAGGAAGTTCTCGTTAACAACAAACATCTTCAAGAAGTTCCTGCGCAGCGTCAGGCCAGACAGGGACAAGCTGCTCAAGGAGAGGCCTGGCTGGATGGCTCCTGAACTGCCAGAGGGTGACCTCTTCAAAAGGCATAAGAAACTGGTTTCTAAAAGTTCAAAAGGCAGCTTCTACCTGCCATTCTGGGCAAGCGGACAGCAGGGCAAAGGCAGGCCGTGTCCGCATCTAGCTGAAGCAGAGAGGAACCACCAACACTACTTCCCCCAGGCCCACCAGCAGCCATTTGCTGGGATTTACTTAGACAGGAGACAGCCAGAGACTGGTCTGGAGAAAATGCAGCCCTTGTTTGACTACAACACAGCTGTGTGGGTCTGACAGTGAAGCCAACAGACTGCCAGTGATGCCAGACTGAGTGAGTGACAGGTGCTGGGGGATTCTGGCTGTGCTGGAGGGGGATGAATGAATAACTTAATGAGAGGTTTGGACACAGTTATCTTCCAAAAATGAACCGATGAGCTTCACACCCACAAGATTATCATTTTGTCTGACAATCCTAAAACCTAAAACTCGTTTGCTGTGTGTGTCTAGGCGTGTGAGTGCTGGAGAGTGTCTGAGTTAGAGAGAGACATTTTTAAGGAAAGTTTTGTATCATTCAAATTTCTTCATATGCGTGCGTGCATGTATGACTGGGTTCTCTGGATGTCTTACAAGATGGTACTTTGACATGGACATCGCTCTCAGAATGTCACCATCATCAGAGATCTTTCCATCCACAGACGTTTTCACAACGACTGTATGCTACAGGAAACACACTGAAATATCTAACTACTTTGCATCTTTGAATAGAAACACCATCTGTTGGATTGCATGGTTAATGTTTTTTTAGAAGTGATGCTACAAACAGCTATTACTGAACGCACTGCCACTAAACTGTCATAAGCTCCCTCTTGTTTCCAACAGGCCTTGACGCCCTGGAAACTCAGGTTTAACTGAATTTGTTGGTCTCATTCACTTTGCTCAGGGAATGAAAGTTACACAGGAGTAAACTATGAGACAATGGTGCATTTAAATGGGTTTCAAATACACTGTTAAAAAAAACCAACTTCCTCATCTTGCTTAGAAAGACATAACAGCAATACAGTGCATGACTACGTCAAAGATTGCACATTAAACTTTGAGATTTGTCCCTTGTAATCAGCAATGGTTGTGCTTGCTGTCATGCTGGAAATACTCATTTGCCGTGTAGACATGGCACGTATTGAGTCAACTATCAGTCCTCCTCGTTGTTACGCAGTGAGAGGAGGGGGTAAAGATGGCACAGCCACTACTGACTGACTGCCATCTGGTATCCAGTCATTATGTAAAGCTCATTCGCCAAAGGCTCGAAGAAGATGCAAAACGGGCTTGTTTAATCTCAAAGCTTTGTGGATGAGCTGAATTTTGTTACATACTGTGTATATACACACACACACACACACACACACACACACACACAGGTAAATACATTACAGGGCTGTGACAGGGATGAGACAGTTGAGAGTGAAGGTAAATATCTGTAATCTCGATCAGACAGAAGCAAGGTAAATGTATTGAAAATTGTACATACTGTCATCAACCAAACAGCAGCAATAACAAACATTTACTGCAATGTCCCATCGCATGGTTTTCATTAATCTACACAGATAAATATGTCACAGTAATATTACAGTTCAACATGTAAACATCACCACAGTTGTATTTAAACCACAATCTGATGAGTTAATATTTGACATACAGTATCTATTCTCTTGTATCATAATGAACAGTTTCTGTGTTTTTCCATTTCATGCAGCATCGGTTACGAACGAACTTCAGCTTCCTTCACAAATTCACATAAATATCAGGATTCCCTCAGGATTACAGAGGACACTGCCCGCTCAGACTCAAAATACTTTCTTTTTATAGAGGACCACTGTTATGCAAGGACAATCTGATACACTAACTTCTTATTGTTATGGAGAAAAAAAACTGTTAATTTCATTCCGTTTTAAAAAAGGGAACCCAGACCAATCAACTTAGCCAGCAGGGATTAGGCCTTCGGTCTTTTGAGTGTCTTGGTCAGTCGATCCATATGGTGTTGTCTCAGTATTCAGGTCAATACATACTGCACATTCAGAGGGTCCAACACACACACACACACACACACACACACACACACACACACGGTTTCTGCTGAGAAGGTTGTGCCATGAGACACAGTCTGAGATGTCATATCACACAGTATGTGTATGTAAATGTAACATTTATTTCTTCCTATTTACAGTTGTCCAAGTGTAATTTTCCACACCATTTTTCATCAGGGTTCTGCGAACCTTCAGTAGTGATTCTGTGTCATGTGCACCATAAAACTGTCACTGACTTTTTGTAAATTAAATCTGTTTTCAGAAAGAAATGTTACTGTGTCTTGACTTTAGTTTTGCATATCAATTGGTTAATTTGTTAGACTGGTGGGTCATGGAATAGTTGTAGCCAAACAACATCCTGATAAATATGGTTGGAAAAAGGGGTTGAAATCAGTATCACGATATTAATAAAAGTATTTTCTCTTATTGTTAGCTTTTAGTTCACAGTAGTTTGGAATAATTTACACTAGGTTGTTCATATTATTTAGCCTACCCTAACTGACATAAAGAGGACGGACTGTCAGTGATCACCAAGCCCTACTTACAGTATAACCCACACAAGCACTCATTTTCCCAAATGTTACACTAAGATGTTGTAAAGGACTATTTACACACCTACACTTATTCACTTTCTTGCCAAGAGTAGTGTTAATTTTGTAACCCATTTTAAAATTTAGTCTTAGTCCTGTGTTAAATGTCCTTGTTAGTTTGTCATATTTAGTCCACTGTATACTATTTTTTTTTCCAAGTTTTAGTTGACTGTCTGATTTTAGTCATCAGAAAATCTAAATTATCTTTGTCTTTTTTTAGTCATTAACCATAATTTTAGTCTTTATTTCACTCATCTCACATATAGATAAATTGTTTTGTAAAATTCGAATACAGCTGAATTCGATTTAATTCGAATTAACTTACCTCAATTCCCGGTGGTTAGCCTTGATATGTCACTTCAAGTTTGTAATGTTTTTTCCTAAAATCTTGTAACCACATTGCTTGCTGTCCGATATAACTAGGCACTCTGTATGTTTTGTCCGCCTCGCTGTATTTGAAATGGGACCAAATATCTAAGCACCTCTTTCGCACAGTACAGTAATGTTTTCCTCGCACACCTGCCGTCGTCCCAGTCTGCCAGCATTCAAAGCACAGGAAGGAAAAAATTAAGCTGAAGGAACACACTGTTAAAGTGAAAATTTAGAGGGAGAAAATATGGCCTGTAATATTTTCTCTCCCCATTATACTGACAAAAAGAGAGAGAGATTTTAGTAATGTTTTTATTTTATGAATTGCATTTTAGTCTCGTCATTTTTCACCAACAATATTGCATTTTAAGATAGTCACAGTCAGTGTTAAAGTACATTGTCGCCGTCTCGTCTTCATCTCGTTTTAGTCAGGGGAAAAAAGGTCGTTGACGAATTTATTTTGTTTAGTTTTGTCTGGCGAAATAACAGTAGCCAAGAGAAAATCAATTCCACTCATGTCTGTGTGCTTAATATGAAGATACATACGCATATCCCCTAAACGTTGAACTAGGGCTTTAAAGGTTATGTGTGTAAGATTTGATTTTGATGTTGCAAATTGCAACCAACTGTCTAGTCTAGCCGCGTCAATATTTGGGATCCAAGCTAGTCATGAAAAATGCGACATCTGACATTTTCAGAGAAGACCAGATGCAGATGACTTAAGAGATTAAAGTGATCTGAACAGATACTCCAAGTTTGGTTAAAATAGCTTAAGCCAATTTGGATTTACAAGCATTTATGTAAAATTGTTCGTAAAGACACAAAAGTAAAAATTTATGGGGAAAAACAGATTGACAAATCAAAATTATTTTGATAACTTTTGATTAGCAACGTCGTAGATGATCCTGCCAAAGTTTTGTGTCGACACACCTCTGACATGATGTGATTCCCCTAAATGTTGCCTGCAGATACCGGGAAAATGAAAATAAGCGTTTGTATGATAGATGCGGATCAAACACCAGAACACACACACACAAACTGCAACACATGCTTTATTGTCGCTTCGTAATCAATTAGTTGAAAAAAATTTCTCCCAATGTGGGATTAAACTCACAACCTTCTAGATGGGAATCTAGCACTTTACCGACTGTGCTAACCAAAAACCATGACATGCAATTCAAAAATTATGTCTTATGTTCTTGCACACCATCTAATGAATAAAAACATTGGTCCGATGCAAAACTTATTTGCCAACCCCTGCTGTATATGATTACTACTTCTTCTTCAACATACGTATTCAACGTAGTGATGAGCATCTACACTGCCAGAAGAAGAAGAACGTAGTGATGAAACATGCTCTGTAGAGTAGTTTGTCCGTTTTCAGCTACTGTTGGAACGTGGTGGTGCAACGTGGCAACGTCCATGTAAGGGGGACCCAAGGTTATGTAGATGAAATGACTCATAATAAAGGTAATAGAAACATAACAGTTTATTATGTAAGGTCTTTATACACCATGAAAACATAGTTATGGATCTTATATTGCATTTCTGTTAATACATCCTTAGAAATATTAAACACTGAACCTTTAAAAGCTCTTGGTGCAGGATATAAATGTGATATTTAGTTTTAAAATTGTTGTAGGGTCGGGATTCTTTATATTCACTGCTTTTACATTCCATTAATTACATATTTTGAGACTGAAAGTTAATTCCTGAACTTGGAATTAGTAGACAAAAGAATCTCACCACAATTACGTCGCAGTTCTGGAGCTTTTGCTTAGTTGAAATATTTTAATATTCCAACACATTATCATTACATTTAAAACATTTACTTGTATATATTTATAAAGAACCAAAATCTACAAAATAAATAGAAAATATAGAAAAATATCAGACCCTAGCAACCCAGCTTTTGCTTTCAGCTGTAGCTCTCAGTCGGATTTGTTTCTGCTCTGCATCCTCACTACAGTAAAGTGCTGCTGAATGCTTGCTTTGCCCTCAGTGAACAGGTTCATTGAGGGCAAAGCAAGCAAGTCACTCACTGCCTGTGCATCAACTGTGCCCTAAATGGATTCTAAATCTGTACAAGAACTCTTTCGGTTTCTTCAATAAATAAACAAAAGCAACACGACCTCTGCAGCCCTGCAGTTCATCATAGGCTCTTCATGACACTCTGAGATGCTTTTTATGAGATACACATCAAACCACATCAATCAGTTCATCTTTCTGTCCCCGAGCACTTTGTCCAAGAAAAGCAAGTGATACCTACAGCAGCGGCCCTGGGCTATAACATAACATATATAACATAACTATAGTGTAGAAATAACATGGTAATCTGTGGGTCCTTGAGAGCTGAAACAATACATTTATTGATTACTTAGTCAATCAACAGATAGCTATTTTTATAATTTAATCATTTAGGTAATTTTTCTAGCAAAAATGCCAAATATGCATTGGTTCCAGCATCTCTGTTATAAGGATGTTCTAATTATATCTGTTTTATATCATTGTAAACTGAACATAGCTTCTTTTTTACTATTTTCTGACATTTTTTAGATAAAATGATTCATCAGTTAATCATGAAAGAATAATCTGCAGAGGATTCCATAATGAATTATTCCTTGCAGCCTTAGACTAGTTTGTGTTGTGTTTCATGGTGTTGCGTACTGCATTACATAAGTTTTATTGTGTGAAAGATAGACATAAGTAGGCTTTTCATTCTGCGAGAAGTCATTTGAGACATGCCAGTTATAAACATACATAAATAAATGAACTTGTAAAAAGGAGGCCGAAAACAAAGATGTTTTTATAACAAAGCCTCTCCTGTTGCAATTTGCAGAAACTGGTGTTCATGAAAGTACATTTTTAACTCAGACTGACATTCATCATTAGACTAGATTAATCAAGGCTGACCGAATAAGATGTTTCATATGGCTCTGGGATATTATGATGCCAATTTTTCACTATTTTCTGACATTCCACACATTCCACGATTCATAAATTACAAAAAATTTATCATTAGTTGCTTATGTTTGTGTCATTTTCTGAAACCTATAAAGTCTAATACCCCCCCACACCCCTATTAAAATACCATTTATCTGCCGCCAATTAAGCTTTGATCAACATTCTCTCAGCTTTAACACCATCTCACAAGAACACATAATAACTTTACATAACACTCAACGAACAGTTCAGTGAGCATTCCAGATTAAAAAGACGCTGGGTTCATTTAGAAATGGGCTAAGAATAATCTGTATGTGGTGTGTGTGTGTGTGGGTGGGGTGGGGTGTGGGTGTGGGTGGGGTGGAGTGTGGGTGTGGGGGGTGGGGGGTGAGCAACAACAGCTGCAACTGTAGTCCCTCAGTTTCCCCCTGGGATCCCAGCAGTGGACGCTCACGCTCTGACCACCACCACCTCCCCTCCCTCTCACCCTTCCTCCTCTCTGGTCCCGGTTAGTCAGCTGTCGCTCTCTCACAGCCTCACAACACTACTCCCACCCCAGATCTGGGGCACACAATGACTGAGTTCAGCACAGTTATACAACTTTACAAGTCTGCAGAGCTCAGACACACTTGAGGACTGAACACAAAGACCTGGTCATGTTACGATTCAGGGGAATAGGGAATGCATGTGTATAAGCATGCATTTGTGTGTGTGCATATATGTTTCTGTGACCCCTCTGGATCCTACTGAAGGCTAATTTCCTGCTAAGCGCTGATCTTTCAATAAGCCCTCAGCTGTGTAGCCACACAGGCCCTCAGGAATGCGCTCACGTTTCACTTTTTATAATCGTCAGCAACTAAAAGTCCAGAATCGTCACTCAGTGCGGCTTTCTGCAAGGAGTTCCCACAAGAAACATGAGACAAACTCACACATGCTAAAGCTAGCAAAACCATAGGTCATTTGTAGTAGCACATAAACGCCCACCACTTTTGGAAATGAAAGACTACATCTTAAAGCCACAAAGCAGAGCCAGATTTGGCAGAGATAAATGAGTTAAATCTAGGACGAATTATTTGGGATTTAACATCTGGCCGCTTTGCGGTGCAAATGCTTATAGTAAGATAAGTCTCACACTCTCTTGTTCTACTAAGTGGAACTTCACGGACATGTAACAATGTTGCATTAAACATTATTAACCCAGGCTTGTAATGAGTTGAAAGGGGCACAGCTTTACTTAATTATTAAGCGTTATTAATAACGCTTTCAAAAAGGTTCACCGCATGAACATTTGCTCCATTTTCGTTTTTGCATGTGTTGAATGAGTACCTGTAAAATCTGTATAAAAATGCACGATGTGGAGATGTAGT